TCGACATCAAAATTCTGGTAAAAATCCTCTCCAGTCGCCTGAATGTAATTATCAGCTCCCTAATTCATAGGGACCAAGTAGGGTTTATACCCTCTCGTCAAGCAGGCGACAACATACGTTGTGCGACTCTTCTAGCCCAAGCTGCTCGAACCCGCCAAATCCCCGTCTATTATCTCTTGACATCCGCAAAGCCTTTGACATGGTTTCCTAGCCCTACCTCTACTTTGTCTTATGCAAATGAGGCTTTGGTTCACACTTCTCAAGATGGATCGCCTCACTCTATACTGACCACGGAGCATACATCCATTACGCCGGATTCAGATCGGACTTATTCCCAATCCACAGAGGCACTCGTCAAGGGTACCCCCTATCACCTCTACTCTTTGCCTTAGCATAGCTATCCTAATTCAATCTGATCCTAATATTAAAAAAAGGTATTGAAATAGGGGGAATCCATCATAAACTCTACCTTTTTGCAGATGATGCCTTGCTCTTCATGACTTCTCCCCTGATATTAGCCAAAAATTTCCTACAATTACTAGGCCATTTCAGCCGCATCTCAGGCTTAAAAGTCAACCCTCACAAATCCATTGCTCTGAACATATCCCTCCCACTCTCTCTCCAAGACCAACTACAAACTGTATTGCCCTTCTCCTGGTCCTCCCACTTTATCACTTTTCTAGGGATCAATTCACAGCTAACCCAAAGGACCTAGACCTATACAGTGCAAACTACCCCCGCCCATGCTTTCCCACCTCACCTATGAACAAATTGTCTCCATTACCTAGATCCTGGTTGGGACGTATCACGGTTGTCAAAATTACTATTTTACCAAAAATATTTTGGGTTCTTCCCATTTCAGTTCCTGAATACTTCCTCCGCATCTTACAACGTCGAGTTTTTTACCTACGTCTGGAATTCATTAAAACCCTGTCTCCCTAAGAACATACTCTTCTCCCATAAGTTGAAAGGCTTACCCAATTTCCAAGCCTATCATGCAGCTCATTTACTTCAGCTCCCCCAATACCACACCACTAAAGAAACACCCTTATGAGAGTCATTAGAATCCGTAGATTGTTACCCTCTGTCGGTAGCTAACCTTTTATGGCTAGACCCATCTCACCACCGCAATCTCAGTCCCATCTCTCATCACTATCTTTCTATGTGAGACAGACCTAAGGCACGCTACCTCTTCCAGTCCCCACATAACCCTATGCTCTCCTTCTTTCTCAACCCTGCTTGATCTTCCCCTTCATCCTTTTCAGCCTGGTCTTTTTTTATCCTCTTCCAAATTTTTATCTTCTTCCAAGATAACATCCTTTCAGTCCCTACGCAAAACCTACCCTCTTCAGAACTTTTTCGCTACCTTCAGATAAAACACTTCCTTTCATTTATACTTCCCTCAGATCCTTTCATCCCTCACCTTTCTTATTTTGAACGAACCTGTAAATAGGACCCCCATAGAAGAGGCCTTTTCTCAAACCTATACAGCCAGCTCCTTGAACCTTGTAGTATGTATATTTTGGGCCGAAATATTTCTGGTCCTCTCTAAATTGTTTGACACTCTAATCCCACCAGATCCTGCAGTGGCACTCCTGAATTGGAAACCTCTAAACGTTACCCGCAGACAATTCAAATTATTCCTCCAAATAACCACAGCAGCTAAACAGACCATTTCAAAAGCATGGAAAACTCCCTCAAGCAGCACTTTGGCTGTGCAAAACCATGTCACGCAAGCCATGATCCACGCCAAAATTGAAGCCACCCTGCAAGACAGGATACCTAAGTTTGAAGCCCTCTGGAACCCATGGGTAACCCACTTCTTACCCCCTTACTTCCATAGTCCTTTAAAAATCTCATAAATACACAGGGTTCAGACTATATCTCTCGGTTGACCTAGTCTACCCCAGGGATGGTCTTACTCTTCCCCCCCCCCCCCTTCATCTTTACACTATTGATTTTCCCCCCTTCCTCCTCTCACCCTCCCCCTGCTTACTTACTTCTTTCTTACTTCTCTTCCCACAGTCAACCCCTCCTCCTCCCCCCTCCCTTTTTCCTACCTACCCCTGACATGTCTTTCAGTTCGAATGCGATCCTTTACTACAGCTTCTACTTTAGGTTACACTCCAGGACCCTGGCCATTATCACCTTCCCTTTCAGCCCACCCTAGGTGCAAGTAACCACTTGATGCCATGGTTTCCAGTTTTTTACTAACTTGCAATGTTTTTTCTGATATTTCTATATCGTTATTCATGATAAACCCAGGGTACAACATCTAGCTACCATTCTTTCTGAAGCTTGTTAGCCCTCTCATAGCTTGACATTGTTTGCTACCCTTCTAATTTAGCTTTACCAGCTTGATGGTTGTTTCTGCTTAAATTGCCTATCTTACCCGCTGTACCTGCCTAAGTCTACTGTACAATATTGCTGATCACATGTTCATGTTACCTCGTTTCACAATAAAATTTAACAGAAAAATCTCCTTCCTGTGCCGAGGCCACTACTAACCGAACCAGTTCCATACGAAGACCGGACATTTAGAAACTTATTTAACCCCTTGAGGTCCAAAATAGGCCTTACATCCCCATTTGGTTTTGGGACTGTAAACAGGGTTGAATAAAACCCCTGAAACCTTTTGTCCGCTGTAACCTCTGATCTCTCCCTGAGACAATCAGCAATAGAGTGCCTGAAATAAAGCTCTTCTTTTCTCTGGATTTATAGGTACATTCAATTTTAGAAACTGGCGAGGAGGAAAGACCTGAAGTTCTAGTCTGTGCCCCAGTGAAATTGTGGAAATGACCCATTTGTCTTGGATTAGAGTCCTTCATGCAGCCATAAAATTCAAAAGCGTTCCTTCCACCCTTCATAAAGAGGCAGCCTTGGGATCTGTCTTGAATGACTTTTGCACCCAGGGCCTCCTTGGGTTTTGATTCTGAGATCTACCTCTGGAGGCTGGGACATGTGTGTGCCAAAACGACTACCTGGTAGATGAGGGGCCAGCAACCAAAGCCCAGGCCCTGACACCTTAAAAAGAAGGGCATTTGGATTTCCTTTTAAGGGGTAGCAGAGAACTCTTTCCCCCTGAAATCTTTTGGATATATTTGTCCAAATTTTCCCCAAACTATGAAAAGTAAAACCTGCCAACAATTTTTTGCATGGCAATTCTGCCGACCAACTCTTCAGCCACAAAGCCCTGCACATATGCACTGACAGGAGGGCCAAGCAAGAAATTTGCTGAATTAAATCTTTAAGAGCATCAACCTGCCAATGAGGAGGCGGCCTTAAAGCGGAGCTCTACCCAAAAGGGGAAATTCTGCTTTACGGCTTTGTCCCCCTCTCCCCATTAAGGATTGGCACCTTTGGGGAGCGGGTACCCGAAATTGACAGGTACCCGATCTCACTTCCGCTATGATCACCTAAGGCACAGGTGTCAAACTACAGCCCTCCAGCTGTTGAGAAACTACAAACCCCATCATGTCTCTACATTTAGGAGTCATGTTTTCAGCTGTCAGTCCTGCAATGCCTCATGTTATTTGTAGTTCTGCAACAGCTGGAGGGCCACAGTTTGACACCCCTGGCTTAAGACAATTGGAAGTGGAAGTTGCCCTCCTCCCTCCCCGTAGTCTTCTGAGACACGTGACAGGTCTCAGAAGACTATGGGACCATTCACAAAGCGCAGCGCTACTTGCCGCAAGCTGTCACAGCCAGGTGCCCACACTGAAGAAGCCAGCACCGGGGAGAAAAAATGGCCGGTGAAACCAGCCATAGTGAGGACGCCACTGGACTGAGGGACAGATAAGTGTCTGTATGTCAAAAGTCAGCAGCTACAGTTTTTTAGCTGTTGACTTTTATTTTTTTTAATTTACCTGGAACTCTGCTTTAAGGTGAGATTCCAGTTTCTTATCTGCTGGACCCTTCAAAACCTGGACATTATCCACAGGACATATTAAAGATTTATTGGTTGAACTGGATGGACTTTTATCTTTTTTCAGCCAGACTAACTATGTAACTATCTATTAAGGGATGAAACCGCTGCATCCACTACAGGCAAACCCCCATTTCTTAAACTTTTCTTTCATGAGATAGAAAAGAGAAAACCTCTTTGGTGGAACAAAAACCCTGTCTCGGTGATCCCAGCCGACATAGATCATTTGCTCCAGAAGATGCCCGAGTACTCTGTACAGGCTTCAAAGAGCTGAGAAAAGAATACGTAACCTCAGAGGGTTCTATCAGAGGTAGCCTGAATCCAGACCATACCAGAACAGTGAGGTCCTGCACTAAAAACTCTGAGACGGGAGGCAAAGATCTCCTACTTCTCCTCAGGCTGTGACTCCTCAGACAGAGATTCTACTGCCTGACCTTCCTCCAGTTCTTCCTCATCCTCAGGCTCCACCAATTCCTGTTCCAGGATTGGTGGTTTTAGTAACAGGGATCTATCCCGCTTCTTAGTCCCAAGAAACTGATGCAATCATCCCAGCGGTCATATCTTCTATCCCCGCTAAGGCTGAAGCAAGATCATCCTTGGTTACATATGCCCAGTTGCTTCTTGCCTCTCAGTAGAGGAAGCGAACCTATGGCTCCAATAGTAGTGCAAAAAAAAAAAAAGTATAAACACGAAACTAGTAAACCACACAACGCAAAAGTGTGTGCTGACCCCACACAATGCAGCCCCCACCACCAAGGAGCGGCTCTTGACTGACTGGCCAATGACCTTCAGGTATACTCCAAGAGCACAGCAACACTTTCTGTGACCATCCACCTTACAGACAATGGCGAAAAAAACTGAAGTACTTCCTGTGTGAGAAGGGTTATATAGGGGAGGACCTCACCACTGATTGGTCGGCCAATGCCCATTCACCTATAGGTGGCCTATAACCCACATAGTCATAGTTAGCCTGCTCTGTGCCCTGTGATGTACGATAAAGAAAAATAGCAACTGAATAACAATACTGAAACAATCTGGCAAACTTTATATAAAAAAGGGTGCTACATGCCCTCACCTGAGAGGACCTCATGAAAAGCTCCTGAATGTCTAGCTCATCCAGAAGTAGGGTGCGTCCAATGCGGTGAACGGCCATGCTGACATGCGACTTACTGTATGGAATCTTTAAGAGTTTCTTTATGTTCTGGGAAGGAATTAAAAAAAAAAACCAAAAAAAAAAAAAAACAAAAAACACATGAGTGTATATAGAAAAATATAACATTCAACACTATAATGGATCTTTAGCTATGCTAATCAAATCAGTTTTCACAATTGTAAGATAGTACAGCTCTAGTAGAGTAGAGTTGTATGTGGACAACCCACCAAATAATTCAAATAATGAATCCAATAGTTTAGGTGTTTCCATTGAACAGCCGTGTTAACACTGCAGCATACAAATACATTTTTGACAGTTTTGTGCTTCCATCCATTTGGAAACTGTTTAGGGAAGGCCCTGTGTGTTCCAGTAAGACAGTGTCATTGCACACAGCCAGCTGTATAAAACTCATGGTGTGTCCCCATCGAACACTGTCCAGATGAATTGGGACGCTGAGTGCAGGTCAGGTCAGGTCATCTCATCAAACATTATTACCTGACCTCACAATTGCTCTTTTGGCTGAATAGGCACACAATTTCCCACTTCAAAATCCTGTGGAAAGTTAGCACTGAAATCAGCAGTGTCTGCAAACCAGGAGAGCAATGACGTCACTTCCTTGGGCATGAGGCAGTGACTGGCTGAAGCGACTGGCTGTTAGACCAGAGCAGTGTCGCAGGGAAGTAGGTCACATGCTCCCCCATACCCAGCAGCACTATGTAGTTTTTCTGGCTATGATAAAGGTGAAAGACAAAGTAGGTTAGGAAAGGTAAGTATAAGGGAGGCGGAGGGTGGGGGCAAAGCAGAGGCCCTGTCCCTTTGTCCTGCATGGGCACGGCGGCAGTGCTTTATAAGGCTAAAACATGTATATAATGCTCTGGATTTAAAAAGAAAAAAAAGGTTACCTCCGAATCAGACACCACATCCACCTCCTTCCCCACAGAGTCTATGAAATCATAGGCCATGCCAAAGCTGTAAGAAAGTCAAACACATACAATCAGATAGAACAGAACAGAAACTTGGCACTGGAAAATAGTACCAGAATTAAACGTTTTTGTGTACTTTAATATGGATCACATATCACAAGCTGAATGTTTTTCTACAATTACATGCAGTAAGTGGAAAAGTGTACATTGCAATCCTTGTAAAGAAACCAGTAAACCAGAAAGCAGTGAAAATAAATAAAACAGAGAAATAAAAGTAATTTTAGCATATAAATCCTGACATCAGAGCATTCCCTCATATAACAGCATCTAGGCCCCCTCCCTCAATGTAGCTTCACAGGCCCTATAAGGAGTGTGATGGGCATATCCCCTCCACACTCCTAATTTTGATTGCTGAATTAGGGCTTGTCTGCACCTGCATTTGGGGAAGGAGGCTGTAATAAAAGCCCATCTCAAATGCCTGTTAATGCTTTTCAACTGCCCCTTAAAGCTACAATGGCAGCCAGATGGGGTGTGTACAAATGCTGCAAGAAAAAAAAAAAATATATACCCTCGGCCATGTTCAGGGGGCAAAACCGCCAGTGAATTCAAGCAAATGGGGCTATACTGCAACCTCATGTAGTGCAAGCAGGTGCAGTAAAATATAATATGCGGGGTTCATATAAGCAGTGATGAGGCAGCATATTGCCTCCTCCCACCCTGGACCACTTTTCAGAGGTATGGCAATGTTAGCCTCATGTGTAAATGTGGCATTACAACAGTAACAACATGTCGAGAGGTCTAGGAACAGGAAAAGCAGCCCCACAGAGACCATGTGCAATGAATGCAGAAGCAGGCCTAGGCATAAGAACAGCCACCGAATGCCTGCTGTAAGGCTCCATGTACACGGGACGTTTGGAAAACACTTTTGAACGATGGAAACGGACTGCTGGAAAACGTAGGTTAAAAAACATCTGTTTAGCTGTGTTCGCATACCACGTTTGTGTTTAGAAGCGTTTTTTAAAGATAACCTCAGGAGACCTTCCCAAATGCCCAGAATGCACTGCAAAACAGTGAAAAAACAAACAAACAACTATTTGAGAGGAAGAGAGAGAGCAGAAGCAGAGAGAGCAGAAGCAGAGAGAGCAGTATGCGTTGAGATTAGCTGTCTTTTCTGGTTGTAGTCACTATGGATCCCATCATGAGCATAATGCAGCGCGTTCTACCATTTTTTCCTTCACGCGAAACCTGGAACTGACTGCGCTGGTATACCGGGTCCATTTGAGTACCTGGAAAATGCTTCGCATGCATTTCTGATGATGAAAAAAGGCTCTGGACAGCATCTGGACATGGAACAGTTAAAAAATGCTTCTAAACACAAACCGCGTTTATAAGCCTTTGAAATGCTGATAAAATCTACTCCTGAACGCAAGTTTGGTGCGTTCAAAAAAAAACGACTGTAAACTGTGTACATGGACACATAGGAAAACATTAGGGAGAGTTCAGGGCTGCGGGCTGCGAAAAGGAAAAAAAAAAAACACGCAGAAAAGCTCCTGAACGTGAGTTTATCAGCGGCAGTGTACAGGAGCCCCAAGTACTACATCATACACAAGTGATTTCTATCATACCGTTGGCAGGTCAGCTTTAAAACTACTGAAGCCTTACACACAAAGATTTAACCTATTCAGTCCATGGACTGAATGAAAGAAATACAATGGATTCCTCCATTCCACAAGTATGAATGAAGGAATCTTCTCTGCCAGCTATTGCACTGAATGTGCAAACAGTAACTAAATCTGACTGGATGCAGCCACTGCCCAGCCAACAATTTCTACCTGGCTTTCCCCACTGACTTCTGGTGGTGCTGAAAGTGCAACCCACAGTTCAGCAGGAATTGGCCCAAATGTGAGCCATGTATGGGCAGCTTTAGGTGAGGAAATAATATGATACACAGTGCGTCCCAGTAACCCCCACAAAATCACTGGTCAGAATATGAAATCCTACCTTGAGAATGGCTTGCTTTTCTTTCCACTTCCCAGACTGGTAGGCCCAAGCTTGGCATTCTCCCGCAGCCAATTAGCAGGGGGTAACTTTAAGTCAGTCTTCTCCTGAAGCCGAGCGAATGCTGTGGCTGGTGGGGCGGAGGAATATTTCACTACAGCGCGACTCTTCACCTCTTTTCCTCCTAAGGAGGGCAAGGAATCCTAAAACAAATATGTTGTTTCACTTTTAGCCTGAATATACAGTGGAAACACTTCAAGGCCTTTTATATCAGATGAAGGATTAAAGAGGAACTCTACTCCATCCCATGATGGATGCTCTTAAAAAAAACCATACACGTCTTCCCAGCGGATCCAGCATTGTGCTGCCATTGCAGGCGTGACAGCAGATGTGCCACTATCTTGGTCCTCTTCATCCAGGTGCCTCCTCCAGATTCAGACATCCCAGCCCCATGCACCCTTGCATCATAGCCCATCCCTTCCATTCACTTTCAGTCCCATAGCCACAACAGGAAGTGACAGGAAATCTCTCCAAAGTGAGGAAATCCCTGGTAGTCACCAGAACTAGTGTCCCCATTGAAAGATTTCACCTCTAATCCTCTACTGGTGACAACCCCAAAACTTGCAATCTTCTTTCAGTTTCAGTAATATTAGTCATCAGAACAAATAGAAAGGCAATAAAAACCTGAACAGATGCTCTAATGCCTCTCCACACTATCCTATTCATCCTACTGGGTCACTGAAGACATTACTGGAGTGAGCAGAGACTAACAATGATAATAATTAATCTGTGCTCACTCCTATCCTCACTGACCCAATAATATGAACCTTCTATAGTGTTTTATATCACAGAAGTGGGTCATAATCCTATGAGGCCACATGTATCTCTCCCACTCCCAGCACAGAGACTAGGCTTTTACTGAGAGCCCAGGTCCCATATTAACAATCAGGTACTAGCAGACCTGCTTCCAAATCACTGTGATTGCCTTTACTTGGCTATCATAGTGATCAGTTTACTGTTCAGCCCTCCACTGTGTTCTCTTCTTGAATGGAGAAAAACATACATTGTATACATACAAGATACATTATATCTTCTCTCCTTACTGTAGGAGAAAAGTGTAAACAGAAAAGTGTGTGGAAAAAAATAAGGAAAAAACAAAAAAATAAATATTATATATATATATATATATATATATATATATATATATATATATATAAAAATTAATAATAAAAAGATTAAGAACAAAACAGCTAGATCACGGTTTGATCTAGGTTAGAGTCAATGGTCAAGGTCGGAGCCAAAGGTTGAAGTCAATGATCAGAGTCAGTGTGTTTTAGATCAGATTAATAAATAAAAAAAAAAAAAAAAAAAAAACTTTTTTTGTTTTTAAATTAGGTGTCAGTGTGTTTTAGCTGGGATAATAAAAAGCAAAATGCACAATATTGTTCCTGGGTTCTACTACTACAAAACATACACACACATATGTAGTATCGATACGATTTTTCCGGGAGTAGGAGAATTTATTTTGGGTTCCTCCCTTGGCAGTAGGTCACGGTAATAGCAAGAAATATACAGCTACAATTTTTTTATACTTTTTTTGTACTATTTTGTGCCAGTTTTCCTTTGATAATAAATGAGCAGATCATATACTACCATTTACCACAAATGAAAGTTCAATTTGTCCTGGGGAAAAAAAACAAGGTATAACCCACCTGGAAATAAAGCAGATACAGTTTTACTAACACTTGTTAAAGTGGTAGTAAACTTCACGAATCAAAAAGAAAAAAAAACAAAACACTGACATGCAGGGTATTTATGACAGAAGAGACCCTATCAGTCTCTCCTGCCATAAAGGCATCCTCCTGCCTCCGAGCCGTCATGTACACTGAGCCATGTATGCACAGTTTGGTGAACATTTACGGCCCTAAATCTGTGCCACGGGGCGATGTGACTCAGGAGTAACGTCATAGCAGCTCGGCCACTCAAGCAGCCAATAGGCACAGAACCTGGAAGGAAGACAGGGTAAAGATGGAAGCATCTGGGGACTGCCGAATCGATTACACCGCAGTGCTGGAGGGCACCGTTTGACAGGTAAGTTTGCCATAATGTACTAATATACAATGTATCCTAGCACATAATGGCATAACCCACCTGGGGGCCACAAAAAAAATAAAGCAGACTTAACTACCGCTTTAAAGTTGCAAAAATTGTGTTCAGGTGTTAAGATTTGTTTTACCCTCAGTCATGAAGGGGTTAATAATATTATATATTAACACTAATGACATAATATAGAATACAAATCTATACATTAATGACACTGTATTAGAGTAGCCAGGTGCTAGCTATATCTTTATATTGCCATTCAGGGACATTTCCCCCCTAGTCCCCAGTACTGCTACATCACTTCCTATTAGCAGAGTGGATCCAGTTCTTCTGACAGCAGAGAATGCTGGAATCTGTAGTCCCACAACCAATACATACTGTATTTCTGAGTGTTGATTGAACTACAACTACCAGAGAGATGGGGAACCAGAAGGTTGCTGGGAGAGCAGATATATTCTACAGCAAGGAACTGTCCTCTCTCTCGGTGCAGTATTTAGAGCTGAACACGGGGGGACTGCCCGGTCTCCTCCAGAGACAGACTGCTGGCTACCAGGGTGGATAAAAATCAATGATTTTTTTAGCACTGCCACGGATCCTATCCACCCCCACTAATCCTATCCACCCCCCAGCACTGCCGCTGATCCTATCCACCCCCCCCAGCACTGCCGCTGACCCTATCCACCCCCCACTAATCCTATTGACCCCCCCACACTGCCCTGACCCCCCCCAGCACTGATCCGCTGACCCTATCCACCCCCCCCAGCACTGCCGCTGACCCTAATCCTATCCACCCCCCCCAGCACTGCCTGCCGCTGATCCTATCCCTAGGGTCCACCCCCCCCCAGCACTGCCGCTGACCCTATCCACCCCCACCAGGAATGCCTATCCACCCCCCCCCCCAGCACTGCCGCTGATCCTATCCACCTCCCCCAGCTGCCGCACCACCCCCCCCCCCCAGGATGCCGCTGATCTTATCCACCGCTTGAGTCCTATCCACCCCCCCCCCCGCCCCCCCCAGGAACAACCTGTCCATCCACCCCCCCCCAGGAACGCCCTATCCACCCCCCCCCCCAGGAACTGCCGCTGATCCTATCCACCCCCCCCCCCCCCCCAGGAACTGCCGCTGAACTCCTATCCACCCCCCCCCCCAGGAACTGCCGCTGATCCTATCCACCCCCCCCCCAGAACTGCCGCTGATCCTATCCACCCCCCCCCCCAGGAACTGCCGCTGATCCTATCCACCCCCCCCCCCCCCCAGGAACTGCCGCTGATCCTATCCACCCCCCCCCCCTGGAACTCCCTGCTGACCCACCCCCCCACCCCCAGGAACTGCCGCTGATCCTATCCACCCCCCCCCCCCAGAACTGCCGCTGATCCTATCCACCCCCCCCCAGGAACTGCCCGCTGATCCTATCCACCCCCCCCCCAGGAACTGCCGCTGATCCTATCCACCCCCCCCCCAGGAACTGCCGCTGATCCTATCCACCCCCCCCCAGGAACTGCCGCTGATCCTATCCACCCCCCCCCAGGAACTGCCGCTGATCCTATCCACCCCCCCCCCGCCCAGGAACTGCCGCTGATCCTATCCACCCCCCCCCCCCCCCCAGGAACTGCCGCTGATCCTATCCACCCCCCCCAGGAACTGCCGCTGATCCTATCCACCCCCCCCCCTGCCCAGGAACTGCCGCTGATCCTATCCACCCCCCCCAGGAACTGCCGCTGATCCCACCCCCCCCAGGAACTCCACCCCCCCCCCCCCAGGAACTGCCGCTGATCCTATCCACCCCCCCCCAGGAACTGCCGCTGATCCTATCCACCCCCCCCCCCCCCAGGAACTGCCGCTGATCCTATCCACCCCCCCCCCCAGGAACTGCCGCTGATCCTATCCACCCCCCCCCCAGGAACTGCCGCTGATCCTATCCACCCCCCCCCCCCCCCCAAACTGCCGCTGATCCTATCCACCCCCCCCAGGAACTGCCGCTGATCCTATCCACCCCCCCAGGAACTGCCGCTGATCCTATCCACCCCCCCCCCCCACCCCCCCCCCCAACTGCCGCTGATCCTATCCACCCCCCCCCCCACCCCCCCAGGAAACTGCCGCTGATCCTATCCACCCCCCCCAGGAACTGCCGCTGATCCTATCCTCCCCCCCCCTATCCCCCCCTTAGGAAACTGCCGCTGATCCTAATCCACCCCCCCCCCCAGGAACTGCCGCTGATCCTATCCACCCCCCCCCCCCAGGAACTGCCGCTGATCCTATCCACCCCCCCCCCCAGGAACTGCCGCTGATCCTATCCACCCCCCCCAGCACTGCCGCTGATCCTATCCACCCCCCCCAGCACTGCCGCTGATCCTATTCACCCCCCCAGCACTGCCGCTGATCCTATTCACTTCACCCCCCAGCACTGCCGCTGATCCTATCCACCCCCCCCAGCACTGCCGCTGATCCTATCCACCTCCCCCAGCACTGCCGCTGACCCTATCCACCCCCCCCAGCACTGCCGCTGATCCTATCCACCACCCCAGCACTGCCGCTGATCCTATCCACCCCCCAGCACTGCCGCTGATCCTATCCACCCCCCCCAGCACTGCCGCTGATCCTATCCACCCCCCCAGCACTGCCGCTGATCCTATCCACCCCCCCCAGCACTGCCGCTGATCCTATCCACCCTCCCAGCACTGCCGCTGACCCTATCCACCCCCCCCAGCACTGCCGCTGACCCTATCCACCCCCCCAGCACTGCCGCTGACCCTATCCACCCCCCCAGCACTGCCACTGATCCTATCATTGGGGAGGCCCTTCGTAATTTCCTGCACTGGGTTCCAGTTACACCTCTGAATGTTGGAATTGCTCTCCATGTGTGCCCCATCCTCTCCCCTGCGCCTCTGCTGAGTGAAGTGACCTGCCTGCTTGTTGTCTGCATTCTATGACCTGTCACTTACAGGGATGGATTGCAGCCAGTTGTGGTCAGTATATACTGGTAAACTGTCGGCCATTAGCTGGAAGCTGCTGGAACTACCTGAACCCTCCGAGGGCCCGAGGCTACAACCTGCCAATACACCTGGGCTGTGTAATAGAATGTGATGATAACTGCAGGATAAAGCTTTGGCAGTTTACAATCTGGCCCCTAGCCTTCTGAGGTGGCCCCTAGCCTTCTGAGGTGGCCCCTAGCCTTCTGAGGTGGCCCCTAGCCTTCTGAGGTGGCCCCTAGCCTTCTGAGGTGGCCCCTAGCCTTCTGAGGTGGCTCCTGGATTCAAAGCAAAGGTGTCCATCCCTGATTATGTAATAAACCATCAATGATGATGTGTTCGGGGAGGACACCCCTTCCCCTCTCCCTCCTGCCCTCTGAGGTGATCCCAGGGAGGGGTGTAGTGAGTGGCCCAGCGTGATGCTTCCCAGTATTCAGTCCCCTATACATGAGGTCACCTGGCTCTCTCTCGGTGTCCTCCGCACTTTCCGGCCCGTGTGCGACCTTCTCCTCCTCCATGCCGCTCTCTATACCTCCATACACCGTCCGCTATCCCCAGCTCAGCTCCTCTGACACTGGAAACTTCCAGACCGGTCTCTGCTGCCGGTAGCATGAAAATCTGTCTCCCGTAAGGATCTGCCCCCCTTGACGTATCTGCGCATGTGCCAGTTTCAGGCATTAGCAGCAGCCGATCGGCGATCTCACTCTGTCACCTTGTTAACCCCTCCAGGCAGCTGGAATTCAAATGCAGCCAAAAAGCGCATCCCTGCTGTGCGCCCAGGAAGAGCTGATTCCAATTGCAGTTCCACCTCCAGCTTCTAAGCGTCGCTGTCCGCTCTCTTCGTCTTGTTTTTGACAGCGAGCCGTCAAGTCCTCTGTCCGCGCCTCTCATCCTTGTCGACGTGCGGAGCTGTGCTGAGTGTTACTTCGGAGGGAAGAGAGTCTGGCGCGCGTGAAGGAGAGAAATGGCGGGAAGTATGAAGGACAACCTGGCCGGGGAGCCCGGAGGAGAGGTGAGGGGCCGCTGTGTGTGATGGCGGGAAAACCATGACAGGCAATATTCCCGGATGTGGATGATGTGTGACAGGAATGCTATGTATGATAGTACGGGATGTCCGTGTTCCGGTAAATGGGGACGGCGGGCTGGGACTTGTAGTTCTTTTTGTTTCCATCTGCTGGTTGGTTGTTTGCTAGAAACATTAAAGCCCCGAACATGTAACGCCCGGAGAATACAATGGCGGGTTCCTTTGTTTCATGTTTTGTAAACCACTTGCCTACCGGCAGAGGCGGCCCTGGGGTTGGTGACACCCGGTGCCGGAACACTTGGTGACACCCCCCTCCGCCGATCCCCGCAGGACGGATCGGATCTGCAGATTGAACATAATGGATGGGACTCCCGATCCATCATCCTCCCCAATCCGCGGATTTATTTCCACGAACCCGTCCTGCGGGAGATCTCGGCTGCGTGCTTGTACAACTTACCGTGTCTGCGTGAGCCGGTGCGCCCCCTTTGGGAATGTTATTCTGCCTTCCGGACACTCCCCCCTCCCTGTCCGGCCTCAATGTTCAGCTGGGGTTTTCTGTTGAGGGTGTCCCCCCCTCCCATGTTTTGATAAATGTCCAATGTTTATACAGCCGTTTGTTTGTACTTTTATCTGGTTTTCCCACCCTCCCCCCCCCCCCCCCCCCCCCCCATTGCTAATAGATCAGGCTGGTTTGGTGTACCATTGTCTATGTAATGGCCAATCTGGCACACTTGTTAATGTGCCTACCATGCAGGCTGGTGCCCTGAACGTCAGTGGTTCGTGGGGATGGGGAAGTTCTAGTCTTTTGTCCAGTGATCCACTTCAGTTGCAGCCTACTATTGTGCCCATCCATCAAGTTGCCGTGGTCTTTCATTTGACCTAGTGTCAGCGCCACCCTTGCCTTCTCTTGTGTCATCAGTGCCCCACTTCTTAGTGCCTTGCTAGATGTACCTATCAGTGTGCATGTTTTTCATCAGTGCCGCATACTATCACACCTTGGTTAAACCTTGGAATCCGTGTGAGTTGCTGTACAACTTTACTTTCATCTGTACTATCCATTTGTTGTGTTGTTTGGTGTCACTGCCATTGTTTCGTTTTTAAGGTTAGGGGGATTGCTAGTGCTGTCAGTGCCTGGACAACCACTGTCAGTGCCTTACTGACCTGTGGTAGTTTCTGGGACATTATGTGGGTGGTCAAAGGGTTTCCATCAAGTGCAGCACTACGCATCAGTGTTTTCATAGTGGTGGCCTTGGTTTGTGCTACTGTTTGCACCACCATCAGTGCTGTACGCATCAGTGCACATTGCCTGACCATCACTTCTTAGTCAGTGGAGAGTACAATAAGATGTGGCCAGGATCATGTTAGTGGATCATGGGTTTGTCTTGTGTTTGCCATACTAATCAGTGGTGTGCCTTCGTGACAGATTGGCAGTGGAGGTTTCTTCATCGGGGCTATGGTATGACCACGTTGGCCCAACCATTCAGTTTAGCCACTAGAATATCTCAATTGGTCATGCACTCCGCCCACCAAGCATGATCAGTGCGTGTAATGAACTGTCAAAACAGTGTTTGCCCACCATCAACTCAGTTGTCTGGTAATCAGTGCCGGGTGGCCATCACTTCTTGGAGGACCAATGCCGGTTTTGCGGTTGCGGGGGTGTTGGGAAGGTGGTGGGATTACAGTGTTTCAGTGCTGCCCCTACCGATGGGGGTAGGGTGGGGGGGGGGGGGGGGGGTGGGGGGGTGGGGGGGGGGGGGGGGGGTGGGGGGGGGGTGGGGGTGGGGGGGGGGGGTGGGGGTGGGGGGGGGGGTTGGGGGGGGGGGGGGGGGGGGGGGGGGGGGGGGGGGGGGGGGGGTGGGGGGGGGGGGGGGGGGGTGGGGGGGGGGGGGGGGGGGGGGGTGGGGGGGGGGGGGGGGGGGGGGGGGGGGGGGGGGGGGGGGTTGGGGGGGGGGGGGGGGGGGGGTGTGGGTGGGGGGGTGGGGGGGGGGGGGGG